ATTTGCTTTTTTTTCGTTGCCAAACTGGATTATTATATGATCCACAAATGACATTTAATATGCATGTATTATTTGAAAAAGATAATTATTATAATTATGATTTACCAACTGAACCTTCTAGTGTTGTAGAAAGTAATGTTTGTAAAGATACTAGATATAAAATAAAAACATTTGATTATTGACTTACTAAGACTAAGACATATAAAGTATATGATATGACTAAACCATTTAAATTCTATGTTAAACAATATCTACAAGATAAAATAGATGAGATAAATAATAACAATAAACCTACACAAACAGGAATAACAATTACAGATAAATTAGACAAACAAATAACAAAGAAGAAAAGAATGAGATATGTTAAATATAATTGAACTATGAAGACATATCCATTTACTATTCCAGATAATTTACAAAGGTATTCTTATGCTATTCGAGACTCTACAGACTTTGATCATATTCAATTTGGCTATTTCTTTACAGTTAATGGAATTGATGTAGTAGATAAATTAACTATTGATAAAGCTATTCAACAAAAAAGTGGAACAACATGGAATGGATATTCGTTACACCACTCCTATAATAAGTGGAATGGGACATTTTGAATTAACATTCTATACTAAATTTAAACAAATTAAGAACAAATATTTGATTTCTTTTTATCTAGAGATAAAATTGTTTTTAAGATACTTCTTATCTCCATTATTCTTTTCAATCTTATTAAAAACGATCCATAACAGCACTATTGTTTGTTATATAAAATATTAAACACAGAAGCCGTGATAGTATTACCATTTAAACAACTTCATCCATATTTGAAAAATCCATGGACAGAAGATATAAATGATAGATGTCAAATTATGCTTGTATGTCAAGATTGTTTCTGGAGATGTACTGTTCAAGGAGGATGTGAATATATTTGTAATAACAAATATTTTGTTAAAGAAAAAACAGGAACAGATTAAAATTAAAATTAATTCATTTCTTTCTTAAATTGTTCATCTCTTTATTTCTTCATCATTCCAAACATCAAATAGTGTTTTCGAATCAATAAAATAACAAAAACTTTGATTTGGTGATGATTGAACTATATCTACTGAATCTTTATATGTGAGTGTTCCATCAATATAATTTAATACATATACTCCAACAGTACGAACATATTCTCTAGATGTGAATATCATATATCCATTACTATAATAATAACTATAATCATCTAATTTATCAATGGTGGATGAATTTCCTGAATCAATTCTATTTGAATTAAAGTAAATTTTTGTTTTCTTTGGCGTATCTGTATCATTATTTATCATAAACATAAATTGAAAGATATACATTTTATGATCCGTACTTGTATTTTTAAAAGTTTTTGATGAATCAGTTCCCCATGACATTAATGTTGATAAAGGAAATGTGTATGTAATATTCTTCAAATCTTTAATTCCAATTGTGTTAATTATATCTGCTTGTTTAATTGTTGTATTTCTTGATATTTCTGTGTTAATGTAAGATGTTAAAGATGTCATTTGTAATAATGCTTCTTCATTAGAATAAAATGGTGAATATAATGAAGTATTAACAAGAGATGATAAAGATATTAATTGACTTGTTAAATTATTAATTTCATTCATATTTGTTGTATTTAATGTTGATAATTGCGATACATCATCACGAATATCATTAATATATGTATTTGTTTCTTTCATTTTCTCTTTCATTTCATCTATTTCTTCATTTGTTGTTATATTCTTAACATTAATTGTTGTTATTCCATCTGTTGTTTTAATTCTATCAAGATAAATTGTGTTGTTGTTGAAATAACGTGTTGTTAAAATATTATTTTTATTTAAATATTTTGAACCAATTGCTTCCATTTAATAATGTAAATTAAGTTCTAAGATAAAATATTCATCCCAAAGTCCAACTGGAAAAATACCCTTTATAATCTTTAAACCATATTCATTACTTCTATTGTTTTAGGATAATTTTCTGATGTAATAAATTCCCATGGTAAATTTATTATCCATTTATATGTTTTAAAATCTGCGATTGCATTTTCTCTTGTTATAGTGAAATATCGTTGACAATATAAATGTGTCATATTGATCTAATTATTTATAGATGAATACCAAACCAATTAGGGCACCTACTAATGAAACAAACACAATCCGACGAAAACCAACACGATCAATACGTCCAAGTCAATCAATGGTAAGTGATACTGATTCTAGTGAATCTATAGCAATGGATGATTCATATGATTCAAATGATTATCCTCATTCACAACAATTATCTTTTCATTCAGACAATACAAATATAAATCTTTCTTCACAATCAAAAATAAGAAATTATATTAAACTATTTATGAAATCTTCATCAAATTTAACTAGTGCTCCTAGATTTTTAAATTTAGTTTATGTATCTATTCCAACTACAGTGACTGATTATAAACATGGTAATATGTATGACGCAATTAAACAAGAAGTAAAGAAATATATTGATGATAATGACACAAGAATAAAGGCTTTATTAACCGCACTTACAAATTTTAAAGTTATTAAGGCTTCAATAGAACCATCAATTAATAATATAAATAACACAATCATATCAAAATTAACTCAATTTAATTCTTCTCAATTATTCAATGGAGATGGATTATTTTATTTAATTGAGAATGATTCATCATTAAATACTATTGATCTTTTAGTATCAAATATTATTATTACACTTCAAAGAAGAATTATTATTCAGACAGGAAAATCATCATCAGAGAAAAATCAATTTAATGTTGGTAAATTTTATGGGTCAGTTGGAAAAACAGTTACAAAAGAATATACTGTTGGATTAAAAGATTCAATTAATGATCTTAATGCACTTGGAAGAACAAAAAGAGGGAAGACAACAAAACAATCATCTCATAATGAACCAAATGCTTTCAATCTTCATTCTTTTATTTTAGTTTATACTTCATTATCTTCATTAAATAATTATTCTTTCTTTGGTGGAAAAATCAATGCTATAGCAATTGTTCATTTAATTAATGGAAAAGTTATTCCTAATTGTTTAGGAAATATATGGGTATATGTTAGAGATTGGTCAGAAGAAGATGTGGGAAATTTAATGTTGGAAAACAAAATGTTACATGGTGTGGTGGAAAATATCATCCAGATCCTCTTCATGATGATGATACTTCAAAATATTTAAAAATCACACTTTAATTTTTAATTCAATTATTTTTTAATAACATTAACATCTCCTGTTAAATTATCTATTTTTAATACTTGTTTCTTATCCATTCCTAAATAAAGATAATATGCTACTGTTCCACTTGAATTTGCTGCTGTTTGTCGAAAAATATAACTAAAATTCTCTTTAGAATATCCTTTAAAAATAATAATTGTTGCTACTTGTGTTTTAAATGATGCATTTAAACTTTTCCATATATGCATATTCACAATAATTGTTGTTTTCAAATGTCTTAATCTTGTAATAATTTCTCCCCATGTTTTATCCGCTTTCATCATTGCAAATGTTGCATCTTCTAATATAATTAATAAATGTTTCTCTTGTGCTTGTTTATATTATTGAAGTAATGCTGGTATAAATTTTTCATAATTCATTCCATATATTGGTGTTTTAATTAAATCTTTTAATTGTTTAAATGTTTCATCTTCTCCTGCATTTTGTGCTACATAAATAATAGCCCCATATAAATGTTCTATATGATTCATTTTTATTAATTCTTTCATTATAAATGTTGTTTTTCCTGTTCCTTGTTTCCCTAATACTATATTCAAACTATTATAATAAAAGAAGATTTGATGATGTACTTTTTGTATTTTATTCCCTTCTTTAATTTCTGATAATTTATCTTCTATCATTTCTTCTATTCTATCTATTCCAATCTCATCTTCTTCTTCTTCATCTTCTATACTATTTATATCTTGTGGATTTGTTTCAAAATATTCCATTCTAAAAATAATTAGTTCAAAAAGTATTTAAATTAGATTTATTTCTATTCCCATTGAATAGCATAAAGAAGATTAACTCTTTCTTTTAAAACTCCATTTCTAATCTCTTCATTCATTCGATTCTCATTAATTAATAACATTCGTTTTCTTTCTAATTCTTTTCTTAATCTCTCATTTTCTTCAAGTATGTCAATCATTAATTCAATTGCATTATCATTCATTTGTCTTTTAATAAAATGTACAATCTTTTCTTTATTATTCATTTTATTCTTCTTTGGTTTTATTTCTTCATTTATTGGTTCTGGGGTTGTTGGACATGGTGGAAGCTCTGGTGCTCCTGTAAAGGAACACATTTGTGTACTGTTGTTATCACTAGCAATTGACATCGTTTGTTTGTCATTAAGTTATTTAAGTTGTATTTATATCATCATTTTTGTGTTTTCATTTCCTATTTTTCATTCATTTTTCATTCATTTTTCATTCATATTTCTATATTTTATTACTTTATTTCTATATTTCTTCATTCCTCAATTATTCTTTGCGTCATACTTATGATTTATTCATTCATCAGGGGTAATAAACTCAATTTATTCGACTATTTATTCATTATGAATCTCATTATTTTCATTCATTCATGTCTTCCGTAAGAGAATTATTAATGGCGGCTGCTTGTATTGATCTTGACCCTGCAAATCTTCAAGTCGCCTCTTCTCTTTTATCTCAACTTGTTCTTCTTCTTCCATCAATCACAAATGAGAATGAAAAGAGAATACTAAAAAGCGTCTATTGGAAACTTGTATGGCAAATTAATGCTCTTACTGGATGGGGTAAAACCATTAATTGATTCTATTCTTTTTATTATTCTTTATGTTTATTTTCATTCATTATTTAATCAAAATTTAATCAAAATAAAACTAATAAAATAAAACTAATAAAATAAAAGAGATAAAAATCATTTAATTATTATTTTATCATTAAGAAATAAATAAAAGAAAATAAATTAAATTAAAAAAAGAATTAATTAAATTAAGGCTTCTCTTCTCCTAGCTTGAAGAGTTCCGTGGCTACATCATAAACATCATAGATGCCATCACGGAGCCACCAATCATCAATATAGAACAGGAGGCGATCAATTACTTCCTGACTCAAGAATTTAACACCGGTGCGCTTCGTTTTATCAATGATTGCTAATATATAAATGATTTCCGATTTTAAAACTTCGATGATGTCGTATTGCATCTCGGCACAGTTGTGGTAAAATTCATAATTTTCATATAAATTATCAAAGTCGTAATTGTCTGAATAAAATTGAATCATCTTTGACATTTCATCACACTTGTTGTCTTCTAAAATTAAAAACAGTAATTTAAACCTATCACTGAGTGATTCATAACAACTTCCCTTTATTACACTCATATATCGTATGATCTATTACTGCTGAAGCGTCATTTAAATAACACTAGGGTAGGATATCAGACATTCCAAAAGGACATTCATCAAGACATAGACATACAAATAAAAATATTTTAATTATAAAATAGTAAAAAAAGAATAAATAAACTAATTTTGTTTCATTTTTATTATTAACATTTTAATATAATTATTAATATTTTTATTATATCTCCTGAATGAAGAATTACATAAAATGTATTATTTTTATATTCTTTTGTTTTTTTTTTCAAAAATAAAATAATAAAATGCATAAAGTGGAATAATTTATGAAAATGTAAGAAAATTAGAATATTCAAAAACTGTAAGAGTTATAAAATATCTTTTATAACTTCAAAAATATCTATAATAAGGAAATTATGAAAATAACGAAGATATAATACTTCAAAATAAGAAAATATCTAACATACTTCAAAAATATCTGTATCCATTCTAAAAATAAAAATATGAATTTATTTATAGAATATTGGTTATATAAAACAAAATATAAAATATTATATATCCCCAAAGGAATGAATTTTCCCATTACTTACTATACGATGTATGACACCATTATCAAATTGTACCAAAGAAAAATAATATAAAAAGATATAATTATAATTATAATTCAATAAATTTAAATAAAATGAATAAAAATATTTAAATAGAAAATAAATTATATTCAATTAATTTAATTCCAATTAATTTGAATATGAATTAAATAATATTTAATTTGTATTATTTATGAATAAGTTATATTTATTATTTTCTTCATTATTTATTCTCTTTTTGTACTATTTCTTCATTTATTTGATTTATTTTTGAATCTATATCAAATGAATTAAATATTACATTATATTTTATATGTCTGTTTTTATATTCTCTTCTTTTCTATTTATTTCTACTTGTTCTTCATGATATTTCTGCAACGAAAAAGAAACAATAGAAAGTAAGAAGTAGAATAAGATAAAAAGAAGATAAAAAGTAATAAAAGAAAAAAAAATAATAAAATATGAAAAGAAGAAATAAAAAGTGTAATTTTAATGTAAAAATTAGAAATATGAAATAAAAGTGTCTAATTTAATGATTCAAAATAATTAATATTATTTTATTAATGAAAAATATTGTATTATTTTTTATGTTTATTATTTATATGTATAATTTCATCATGATGTTTATTATATAATCAATCATATGTGTTATGTTATTATAATATATAATAAGTGATAAAATATAAATGAAAATGATATGAATATATAACATAGATAGAATATAAAAATAAAAGAATAATAAGAATAAATGATAAATAAATATAGAAATGATAGTCAATGATATAATAATAAAATCAAAATATAAAAGATAAAATTAATATTAATATAAATCAAAAGAGAATAAATATAAAATGAAAATAGATATAAATGATAATAATATAAAAATGATAAAGATGAATAAACAAATATATCTAAATATAAAAGAATAACAATAAGAAAATCTAAATAATATAAACATAAAAATAATAAAATAAGAAAAATATAATAATGTAGAGAT